TTTTTCTAGAAACACAAAAGAAACTACCAGCAAGAACAGAGCTTTCTGGATCATACTCCAGGGCCAGACAATGCTCAAGCCAAGCCCAGATCTAGAACTTCAGATCCCACCCCTGAAGCAGGTCACGGTCTCCGCACAGCTCTAGAAATACTGATACCTTAATGGATTTCAAACAAGCACATAACAAACAAGCTTACGCCAAGCACTTTGGCCTCTACATAGAGGAATTTCTCCAAAGCACCCCTTTTGGGGACTTGTTGAGGACCAGTGTTGGAAATTCCAACTTGCTGACCCCCATACGGTGGATGTGGTATTGCTCCAGATGATTGAACAACAGTACTGGGAATGCCCTGGGCTGTTTGGATTACGATAGCTCCATTAAATGTTCCACTGGCCATTTTTGCTGGAAGTATTGCCACAGCTAAGTTACCTGCAAAGAAACAAGCAAAGAAATGTTCATGTCTTAACATCAAGGAGCTATTATCTGGTCCTTCTCTTTAATCTCAGTTTACTGGAGGGAAATGCAGTCATCAAATATGGTACGATTAAAAGTCCTCCTTTTATCAGGTGGGGAAGCCTCGCCCTCTGCTTATTCTCGTAAGTTACTTCATTTTCCCAGGCGCTTCAGGGTGCCTCATCTTCAGTGGTTGTCGTGAGTAGATTCTGATGACTTTTTAAAAGATAAGTAGGGAATCAGCAGGTGGGCCCTCCTGTGGCTGCCGCTTCCCCCCCCCCCACAACCCTCCGTGTGCGGCCTTCCCAGCCAGCCGCTCAGTGGAGGTCTCCTGGGGGGAGCGTTTCAGGAGAGCGAGCGGGTGGGGGAGCGTTTGCCCTTGGCCTTTCCAGGGTGGATGCGCCCAAGACGCCCCAGGATACAGTGCTTGAAGTTCGCCGTTGAAGATAGCATTTCCCTCCAGTACACTGTAGAAGATTGCCAGCAGGTTTCAGGAAGCAGGGTAAGTAAGCACACAAAACTTTCTCATTAAGTTAATTGTACCCATGGAGATGGGTTGTCTTCTTGCTTACATTCCAATTTTCAATGCAAAATGTGTCTTGTTAATCTTAGCACCATCTCAGTTCCACCCAGGCTAAATGGCATCTCTCATTTTGGTATGGTTTTATCGTGATTGCCCTCCTGTCCTGTTAGTGGCAGGTCGATTTAGTGGTACCAGGCATGGATGATCATCTTTATTGCCATGTTCCAGCAAGCTCTTACCAATTTGGGCAGAACAAGTCATTGTGAAAGGCACGGGGTAGGGATCCGTATCCCAGCTTTGCTTCACAGATGGGCTGAGGTTTCTTACCAGAACAAGCTGGAGCTTTCAGACCTGGGTTTCCTAACAAAACTCTGGTCAGCCCCAGAAGGCCCCGAAGCCATACAGCAAAGTCCAGTCTGCTACTGCCCTCTAAGTGGCCCAGGCCCAACAGCCTGAGTCGCGCACACGTTTAGGATTGCGGAGCCCTTAAGAGGAAGGTGCTTCCCTTCCTGAGCTGCAGAGCTTGGAAGCTAAAGCTCAAGGAAACCAGGCCACCCACTCATCCACCAGCCGCCTGGCTCTGAACGGCGAACTTCAAGCACTGTATCCTGGGGCGTCTTGGGCGTGTCACCCCGGAAAGGCCAAGGGCAAATGCTCCCCCGCCCGCTCCGTCTCCCCTGAAACGCTCCTCCCAGGAGGCCTTCGCTGAGCGGCTGGCTGGGAAGGCCGCGCACGGAGGGTTGTGGGGGGGGGGGGGGAGCCCCCACCCCAGGGGGGCCCCCCTGCCGTTTCCCCAATTTTTTTTTTTACAAATAATTCAAATAACACCACCAC